TTGACTGTACCAATGATATTTATAATATGCCTTTCTAGACTGGAGCATCCTAGGGAGATGGAAAAAGTTCCTACTTTACTAGTTCAGGACACATTGACAATGATACTAGGCCAAATCCTGTTCACTTGACGCACATAATCAATCCATTTGAGCCAAATCCCATAAACCGGATTTAATAAAAAATGTATTTCCCGAGGCAAAACCCAGGTCACTGATTCAAGGCAAAGGTTTAGCAATCTGTTCAGGGAACAAGGAATTTTTCCATATACCTATTTTACTGCTATTGATCAACGGCTACTTACTGCAGATTTATAAAATGATGATTCCCTTTCCATATGTTACATATCATGAAGATCCTCATTAGCTGATCCAATCAAATTATTTAATGAAGGATAAGACCTGGGTATGATCTCAGAACTATCTGTGTGTACATCACTACAAAAATTCAAAATCTAAACTCCCCTGTATCATAACAGCAATGTGTGAGCACATTGCAATCTGCATCTTAAATGTGACAGCATGTGACATTTTGTTAAAATTTGTGGTGCCACCACAGTTTTCACCTCTTATAGTATTTATGATATATTACAGACAGATGCACACAAATACATTATGAAACATATCAAGGACAGAAAAATCCAAGTCACAAATTTCCATTGGTTTCCCCTCCTCCCCAAAAGAGTCCATCAAATCTCAAACTTCTGCCACTGATGTGCTTACTAAGAAAAAAGAAGAAAGAAAGGAAACGAATGAAAGAAAAGAAGAAGAAATGCAAGGACAGTACTGTTTTATTTTTAAAACCAAACTGAAAAAAACATTTTTTTTTTGTGGTTAATGTTCAGTTTGGTTTTAATGGGTGATGGATTTCTGTTTTCTATATCAGGATCATAATATTTCAAGTGTGAAATATTGTATCTTGTTTTTTAAAACGGATAATGTGGCGGATCATAGAGCAGATAAACAAGTTATTACAAATATCACCTTCTATTAAGTGAATTGTGGTTGCTCCATGTTCTGTAGCAAGCTGCTCCTACTGTTTAACATCATTCACAACACCGCACAGAGGTAGCACTTACGGACAATGCATCAGGAACGAGGCATATACAGAAGGAAATCTAATCACTAAGAGGAAAAAAAGAAGGGATTCTGTCTTCTGTAATGAGGAAGAACAAGCATGTCTTTAGCTGCTGTTTCTTCCTGTTAAAGGACTGGAGCAAAAAGACCCAAACTAAAAGCAGTCAGATGAATCAAGTATCAGCAATAAAAAATGCAGACAAAGCTTGGCATATTTCATTTTTAAAAAGAAAAGAAAAGAAAATCCCCATTTAACTGTTCATCTTGACAGTTACACTGGATTTTTTTACTTCTCTGGAGCTGTGACGGGTTTGCTCTGCCTGAATGACTGATCAAAGGCATTAAATGTTGCAATCCTTTGTACAGCACAAATTACACTCATTACTGGTAACATTTTACTGCCCTTCTCTCTCTGATAAATCCAGCTATGGAGTGTGCTGATCTCATCTTGTCTAACCCAGATGGAAAAAAAACATGCAGCCTTATTACAGCTGACTAGTTCAGCCAGATCAACATGAACAAGAAGCTCAGTTACATCAATCTATAGGTTTAGTAAATGCCTTAGCATTTTCACTGCAGCACGGAAAAAAGTGATTAAAAATCAGGTTGTTTCTCTAGGGGGGGGTTTATTACTGTCACTTACAATGTTCTTGGTTTGGTTAGTTTGGGGGGGGGGATTTTTTTGATGAGTTGAAGACTCGTCTGTCTAAAATGGGAAATTAAAATAGAAATAATATTTTGGAATGTTACTACAAACTTCTGCATCCAAAAGCTCGATAACAGCTGTCCTCCAGGATTTACAGTGACAGAAGCATCTTCTAGTCAATCTACTTTTAAATTGCAAAATAAAATAATGTTCTTCCCCAAGGCAAAGCTTATTACTTTGCATATGCATTTGATATTCAAGGCCTAGCTAGAATTGAAGAGGGCACTTGAGCACAGGGTTATGTTCATCCCTATTCAAGGAACAATTTAAGCACAAACATCAAGCATTTGCTTAAATATATTTGGACCTACTTAAAGCCCTGGGTTATATATGCTTTTCCAAATGAAGAGGTTTTCCTGAATCAGGTTCTGTAGTCCTATAAGAATATACTTCTTCAGCATATCTTTGGCATTCGAGAAGCATTTGTGAGCATTATTCCAAATTAGGTAAATAAGCTCTTCAATTGGCAACTGGCTAGACCTCTTTGAGAATTGTGCCTGCCTTTCTTCTCATGGGAATCTAAGCCTTTCAGCTGAAATAGGTTGGTTTAAAAGATTTCATATCTACCTATCAGTTCCACTTTCTTATATTCTATATCATTTTTCTTTGGAGTGAGGCCAGACACTTTCACAATGATTAGATATATTTCCCCTTAACATTAGAAAGAGGAGGAGAACTAACTATAATATTTGTGCACTGCTGAAAGCTGCTATGAATCTAGCTATTTATAGGGACAGGACATTCAGTTTCCAATTCTTGAGAACCTATGTACAAATTAGATTTGGTCCAAGATGTGGTATTTTAATCTGGGTTCAAGCAACCTGATAGGTTGGGGAGTTTTTCAGATCTTGAGCCAGATTCAGATGCCTCTTAAATGGGTCTAACTACAAAAAAAAGACTTAGCCAATATACATAACTGGGAACCAGGAAAGAAATATTTATATGGCATTACCCGTGGCATTACCCACATGCTTTTATAATCCTTAAAGTAGGCAAGTAAACATTCATGGGCAAACAGCTATTCAAACTTTTCAAGTTGATGAAAATTAAGGAATTTGGAAAGTCAAATAGTAGGGGAAAAAACAGCTCTTTGATCAAATCCCATTTTCTCCTTATATAAAACAAAGTACAACAGTTGTACCAAATAGCCAGTGCATGTATCTTAAACTGAAGTTTCTCGAACAGATGGGACAGTGGTGTTAGTACAGAGTATTCTTTAGCTTTCTAAAGAACTATGTGGCTTTTACATGAGCATTTCCAATGTTGTTAGTCCAGCTCATTTTTGTTTTGGGACATGGCAGCCTGTTTTCTGTATCTTCTACATACATACAAATAAAACTAAAATGAACTGATTTATCAAAAAGACCTAACACCAATCCACACACACAGGTCAATGTGGTTGCTCTTCAAATAACTGTTTCATTTTCAAGAACACTGAACAGGCTTTCTCAAGTTTCTTAACTAGGGAGGAAATATAACTATCAAAACATGCAGCCTCGAAACTAGAAGGGACTGAAGGACTGCATAAAGCAAAACATGAAGTTTCAAGTGCAAGCTACTCTTGAGATATCATATGACAGAGACCACTAAATCAATTTGTTTCAAATGAGCTCAGTGTTTCCACACACTACATATACATGGTTCTGGATACTGCTTAGGTCTTCCCTGCCAATTTAGGCTAGGTACAGACATTTAAAAAGTCCAAGGCAGAATTGACCTAAGTTACATGGTTATCTTTAGCCAGCATAGTTTAGATTAGTAGCGAGGAGAACAAATGTTCGCCATTTGGTGGTGGTGGTTGGGGGGGTGCAAATCTTAGACTGGGCTCTGCCATTTTTAAGTCAGTCCATGTGTGCCGAACTTCTGTTCTGTTACAGGTATAGACCAGTTTCCAACCACTTATACCAGTAAAAGTGTAATGTCTGTACCTGGCCTTAGCACTGCCCCACCTCCTTTGCACCCTGTGTTCACCTCAAAGCTGTCATTCTCATTCTCAACCATCTCCATTCTGGACACATTCAGACATTTTGCTCATTTCAGGAGTCTCCACCACCATTCATGCCTTTCTCCTTGTTTATTGCATAAGCCCTTGATACTCTCAACACTTAGCTACCTGCCCCTGCTCTAACACAATCCCTCGGCAAGCATCAGTTTAATGGCTCCATATCTCAACACCAGGCCAGGGAGTGGGTCCAACTTTGATCTAGGTTGAGAAGCCCTGTGCAACAGGGAACCAGGAACTTCAGTGTCCAGCAGGGCAGGGTGGTCCCCACCAAGTCTGTAGAAGTTAGGACACAGTGGGAGCTGCAGCTCACAGCACATGAAACCCAGGCAGAGATGCCAGGTCCTCATGGAAGATGCTACCACAGGATGCACTCTACCACCAGGCCAGAGTACTCAGCCATTCCAGGTTATTGAGGCCACAGTAATAATTCTCCCTAGCCTTGCTGTTCTGTGTAAGTAGGAGTGCAGCACATGCTACAGCATACGCACTCTTCTCAGCCTTCCAGTATTTTCCTTAAGCCTATGCTGTTGACAGACATACACGTGCATCCCTATTGTCATTGTGATACTCTTACTGAGGAGGCAGGGGTGCTTTAATGTATGCCTGGGAGGTATTTTATAGGAGGAAGGGTAAGGAAGAGGGAGAAGGGAAATAACTTTTCCTGCTGCTAGTTCTAATACCTGTGAAATGCAGTTTAGGTTTGAAAGAATGCTTGACTGTTCAAATCCAAAATAAAGCATTTATCAAAGCATTAAGAGTATACTTTAAAATGGGTGTGCTAAATGGCTTCAGGAACCAAATACTAGGGCTGTGCGAAACTTTAGGTGGTGAGTCGATTTGGCCCGATTCGGTGGCCAAATCTCTGAATCGAATCAAGGGACCAAGTAAAAGGTTCGAATCGATTCAAAGCTCTCTGAATATTTGGAAAAGATTCAGAGAGCTTTGATGATTCAGGCAGTCCCCGCTCGCTGCCACAGGAAGCTGCAGCCAGCTCCAGGCTGGAAAATACTAGGGGTGGGGGAGGGGACCATGGGGGGGACCCCAACACCCCAACACCCTCTGCTCCCCCAGCCTCTGCCCATGGCTGCCCCTACCCACCCCAGCTCCCGGTACCTTAAAACAAAAGCCCAGGTGCTCACCAGGTGCTGCCAGGCAGGGGGGTCTCATCCCCCAAGCTCCCCCCCCCAATGCCCCAGCCAAGCCAGCTCTGGCCCTTTAGGAAAAAACCTGGAGAAAAGCCCCGGGACTCTCCACTCCTGCAGCAGCCTCGGGATTCTGGGGGCTCATGCAGAGCCCCCCACATGGTGTGGGGCAATGGGGGGCAGCAGGGATCATCCTCTGCCCAGTGGGAGTGGTGAATCCAGGGGGGTTTTCATGTTTTCTTTTTTCTTTCTTAAAGGACCAGAGCTGGCCCAGGCGGGGCACCTGTGGGGTGGCTGTGGGAGCAAGGGGGGGATCAGGGGGCTCTTGCAGAGCTCCCCATGCAGCATGGGGCAGCGGGGGGGCAGCAGGGATTACCCCCAACCAACAGTACCCAGTGAGTCAGAGCTTTTTTTTCCCAAAGAGCTGGGAGCTGGGGCAGCCGTTGCCAGGCTGGGAAAGCGGGCAGAGGATGGGCCTGGCCTGGCTGATTCAGAGAGTCAGATGAATCAAATCGGGACAGTGATTCAAATCACTGAATCGGATCACTGTTCCCCGAATCAGCTGAATCCAAATCCAAAGCGAATACTAGCCACTTCACACAGGCCTACCAAATACTTATTTGAGGGGGACGCTTAGGAGCAGGTGAGAATTGACAGCCAGGCTGCTCAACTTGAGAAGTGTGAAAGAAGAACTTTAGTTTATTATCAGCATGCAACAGGTTAAAATGCCACCAAGAAAGAACTGAAGAATAATCCCAGCTGTCGGACTCAGCAACAACAGAGAGTACAGTAAAGGTCACTAATGTGCTGTAATTGCATGTGCAGCACTTCACTAGGCTCTTACCTTGCTAAATGACCTAGCACAAAGCCCTTTAATTTTACAGTATATGAATCCTTCCAGTAGCCTCCTGGGTGATGTTTGATCTCATCTGTCATGATGCATTTCCCCCATAAAAGTCTAAAAATAAAAAATGTCAAGCCACGTATTCCATGGGGCTGGCAAGAGGAAACACATTAAAGCCAGTGGTCCCACTAAATTTATTAACTACAAATATGGAAGTTTCCTGCACGGCTTAAAGTGGTTTACTTAAACATGGCTTGAATTCATGGAGGCACATGAAGTTTCTGGGTTGTTGTTTTGGCCATTCAGCAATGAGGTGGTAGAGTCACCTTACTGCAATAATTGTGAGTGTGGAGGCAAAAGCAAGGTAAAAGCACAGGCTGTGCGCCCAGGTCACGCAGTAATCTAGTGTAGGGCTGTCCAACTCCTTAGCAGTCAGGGGCTCCACACCACAGGGACTGTATCAGCAAGAACCCTGGCTCCTTCCATCTCCCTGGCTGCAGGCTCCCCCAGCATCATATGGGTGGGCAGCATCTCTGTCTCCCCCCATCGCCTTGGCTGCAGGCTCAGTCACTGCACCAGGGATGGAAAAAATGGAGGGACCATAATTCACTTGATTGCACTCTGTTCCTGCTAATATTTAATTCATACTGGGCTTCATTAATAAAGATGAAAATTTGGACTTAACGATTACTCCACATTTACAAAAACATTCGAGGTCCTTGACAGCTCATTAATGCATGAACAACCACTAATTACATTTTAAAAAAATCCTGCATACCAAAATTGCATATTCTGAATTTTAAAATTTACTGAACAAAAATTTCACAAAGTAAATCTTAAATTCAGTTTGTCAGGAAAGCACAAACAAAAAAAACCCCCCAAAACCCCCAAAAATCCAGAAGCTGACATCTTTCAGATAAAAGCTAGACTCCCTGCTAAACAAGCAAGTAAATTACACATTCATACATGGAAATGTGTCCTCTAAAACAGGTGCATTAATAACTCCAGGCAAATGTATTATAAATGCTTAGTATACATAACGCTTGTTAAAATAGTACTGAAGTCACCAAAAAAAAGTTTTCATCCTAAGAACTGGGTAGTAATCACAAAACATTGATGAAAAACAGAGGTGATTTGTTTTGGCACAAATTTGGTGAAGACATGGAGTTTTATATAGATTTACATTTTTTGTCACAGGAATAATTATATCGGCATTTTCTTAAACTCAGATCCATATAGACAATAGTATCATTTTTGAATGCCAGACACTGGACTGAAGGAAAGATCACACTGCATTTTTAACGTATGAAAACTAACCTACTTAAGAAATGATGAAACACTGTACATTACAAGATACCATACCTCATTTCTACACAAGTCAGCATAAGGCAGTATGATCCAACATGATATGGAAATTGCAAATTTAAATTGGTAGACTGACTAAAGCAAAAAAAAGAAACATGCCTGTAACTCCTAGTAAAAAAATATAATTTTAACACACACACACGCACAAAAAATCTTGAGATTTTACTTATTGCTCTCACACAAGGGCTGTCAGCAGGCAAATGTCCAGATCAGAAATTAGGTCAGACGTGCATTTCAGCGGGCTCTAACAGTAGAAGACACTCATACTAGCAAAACAGTTTACTGTTACATAATACCATGTGGCATTCTGCTAATATGATACCTATGGCAATAATACCAGATGAACCCCATATTTGCCTGTTGTGCAGTGCATTATACAGTACACTATTTTAACTTAACTTTTGATTTGTCCTTCATGCTGCACTTTGCATACAGGAACAAAAATGTAGAACTTTTAAGACAGCCATTACTTGAAAAATGAAGAGAACCTGTTCCGCCAAGAGCTTAAAGTAGACATTGTCTAGTTGCAACAAATGTTAACATTGGACATGTTGGGCTCCCTGGACTTGCTGCTCTAGTCTGCCTGCTTCTTGGAGGCACTCATGAGGAGCACAGCAAAGTTGGTGTAAAAATGCTGCTCTTCTGATCCAACAGCTTTCTGTATACACAATAGTTCCTCTGCTACAAGTTTAAATTACTACAGCGTGCTAGGCAGTGGAGAGGCATGACTGGATCTACCTCAGATCAGGTTAGGACCTTAGTGGACTGGACCACCAAGCATAGCATGAATGCAAATCCCTAACAGCAATACAGGTTAGCAGTTTCACACCACGTGCATTTGGCTTTTCTGTGCCATCCTTCTGTATCCCACTTACGTGGCTGCCTTTGATCAATTTGGTCATGGCAAACATTTGTCAATCGGGCACATAAACAAATCTGTGCACACTCTCCTTGCATGGAATTACGAAGGCATCAAATAGGTCTTTTCTGGGGTATTTTCTACACAAATAACAGTAGATAAAATTAGCTTAATTAGTACTAGAAGCTTCATCTTCACACACAGCTTTACATATAATACCTTAACAGTTAGACACATCTATGCCATTCTTAGCTAATACATATGAAAAAATAATGCTGGCATGTTTATGGACTGAAGAGGAATCTCACTCTAAAGATGATATGTACTCTGCACGGTATGCCCAAATGAGAATGATGTTCATCATGAAACAAGCTCTATTTAGTTACACTGATGCAAAAGTATTGATTTATCTTATAGGCCTAAATTAGGCACTGTATAGCTGGAACAATGTTCTCCAGTGTTATTACATGGTCTTGAAGCATCTCAAATTAACTACTAAAAAAGTATATTAGTCATAGACCAGAGGTCACTTCCCCAGTGAGGTTATACCTGTGTAATGGTCTATTCTTTGCTCTAGCAATAAAAAACAAGGAAAATCAATAGACTTTACTGCCTTACTGGAGCTTTTTCTGACATACATGCAGTTCCAAAACTCAGATTCAAAATTTCAGCCGAATTCTGATATGCCCTTTCCCTGGGAATATAAACTTTCTCTGCAATAAATGAATATGACTTCTTACAGCAGGTGTTACTCACCTTAAGGGCATAAGATTTTGATCCTTTAGGATCTGTGAACTGCTATCACGAGTGTCAGAATATCAGCCTACAGGGGGAAAAATATTCTTCCCGCTTCAGTTTCAAATGTGTACCTCTGAAATGAGGTAAAGGGCCCAATTATGCTCTCTCAGATTTAACACCCATGTGATTCCATTGGTGTGGGGGAAGAAGCACAGACCAACTGAGTACCTGATCAAGGCTTGGTTTCACTCCCAGGTCTATGTCCCTGGGCAACATCACTTCAGCTCTCTGTACCTGTATCCCACCCTTTGCCCTTCCTGTATAAACCTTCCAAGTGAGGCCTGTCTCAAATTAGAAGCTTTATGTAAACCCAGCACACTCTCTGATGGGTTGGCTAGGTCTCAGTGAAGATATTCATAATTCACGCTGCTCTCTGTTATACAGATTCAACTTCTTTGAAGGAGGTGGCAAAATTGGTCCCAAAGTCTAAGCAAACTGCTTTTTTTTTTTAATCTGGTTCTTGCAGGAAGGCTGCCCAGCTCTCCTTGTGAGCCATTTCTCTACTAATCCCCATGAAAGTCAATTTTCCAAGAGCCTGCTGACAGACCCGAGATGAAACAGCATGACCACTGTTTATACTTCACAGCCATACTCTGTGATGTGGCTTACACAGAAACATTTTGACTGCACTATTACATCTCCCACCTACTTCATTTTATTGCTTCCCAGCTTGGATCTCCATTTAACATAATGTTTGGGAATTTTGCATTGCTACATTGAAAAACAAAAAAAAGGAAAGCAAATGACAAACACATATTACATATGAAACACAATTGCTTGTAAAACATTTCCTTTTAAAAACTACTGTACAACTAACTTATTTTAATTATGTGCAATTGAAAATATATAAAAAGCCTTATCAACTAAATGATTTTTACAAGCCCCTCCCCCACCTTTAAAAAAAATGTGTGTGTGGACTAGCACTGAATAATCTTTACTGAGTCATACACCAATTCTCATGTTTCACTCTACCTATACATAAAGCATTTGGGATTTTAATCTACTTTGTTGCGAGAGAGAGAGAGAGAGAGAGAGAAAAAGAGAGAGATCATACCATATACTTTTACAGTATAACCAGCTAAGTAGACGTCTTTAATCTCATAACATGATAAAAATCATTATAAATTACAGTCCCTTTGATAAATGACTATGGTGACGCATGCACTCATCCTCAGTGCTGTTACCATCAAACCACTCATGATTTTCTCTGTACTCTAACAAAGAGGTCTCATGTTTCACCTTTTCAGGATTGCCTTTCGACTATCAAATGGCTGCCCAGTGCCAACTATTCTGTAGTAATTGGTCAATGTTGCAGTGCATTGCTCTCTCTCAGTCCCATCACCATCACCACCACCACTGCCTTCCTAGCCCCTAAATAAACGCACAGGAGTAGTCTGGGAGCAGCCCCTTTTCAGCCGCAGGAAATCACAGTGAAGCGCTTGGAAATGCAAGACATGTTGTGGAGCACGATACCGAGGAGAAAGACCAAGACGCATGCCACCAAGATCACAGTGCAAACCCCCGACCAGGTAGAGCTTTTCACAACACCCCTCCTGTCATGTTCCTCTTCTCCAACTTCCTGTGGGATTCCACCTTGCAGAGGCTGCTGCTCAGCTGGGATTGTCACCACAGTGACAGACTTCTGCTGGTTACCTGGCAGGAGGCGGCAGCCAATGTCTCCAGGCAACAGTGCTCTCTCCTTGGAGATGGGCAAGGGCAACATGTAGCATCCATTGCTAGGAAGTTTGATAAAGACAGGAGTGTGCTCTGAAGCATGAGGAATTGCAATCACAGCAATGACTTCTGGGTCATCAGGCAGCTGCGAAACAGAATAGCCTGGTGGCAACTTAGTGATACCTCGGCACCAAGGGCATCTCAGGTCTTTCTGGCTGGTCCTCATCTGCTGAAGGCAAACAGAGCAGCAGGTATGTTTACAGTCCAGTAACTTGGGCCTCCGTCGCGGGCTGTAGTAATTGAAACAAATCTGACATTCCAGTAGAGAGTCCTGGGACAGTGTCTCCATTGTAGCCCTTATGGGGAAACACTGAGTATCTTAGAGAACTTTGCTGTATTGTCCAAAATCTGAAGCCTGGTGTAGTTTCTCTCTTCCCACTGCTGCGTCTGCGTACCTCACCAGTGAAGAGCAATGGCTAGGAACCACCATGTAGGTAAGCATCTGATGTGTCTTTCAGTATCTGAGAGAAACAGAAGATTCAAATGAACAGGGTTATTTGGGAAGACAAGACACAAAACTAAGAGGAAAATAAAATCCCCTGATTTTATAGTAACATCATACTGAAAGGGACCTGTTCCCTGCAAGCACAAGCAATCATGTAACAGAAGTTAAGTACGAAACAGATGACAAAAACAGCCCCTCCTGCATGCTATGACCTACAAACAACCCACTAACACCCAATAATATACTAGGACAGCAGGGGCCAACTTTTTTTTGTCAGATATGCCAAAAATTAAGACTCATGCCCTCCCTGAGTACCACTCCAATCCCATTCCTCTGTCCCATCTGCTGCTCTGCCTTCTCCTCCCTGACCTGTGCCCCCAGTCTGATATGTTGCTCTTTCTGCTCCCTGATCTATCTGCAGCATGTCACACAAAAACTGCCCATGCCGCTAGTGCTACATGTGCCATAGATTGGCCACCCCTGCACTAGTAGTGCACTATACCTTCAATCGAATCTGCATGTTCTACAATAATGGAGAAATAGACTAGATGATGAAGGTCATGTCTTTAGGATAGGCTCTTTTGGACCTCAATTTCTGCAATCCCCAGAACTGCAGGTCTGTACTTGATGTTACTTATACCTGGTAAAAATTGAAGCTAGCATCTGAAAAGGTGGTCTCAAGGTCCATCTTATGATTTACATGTATATTTTTAATAATTTCTCAAGGCCTGTCAGCCCTTAATAACCCTTTATTTTCATTTAATCCTTTAAAGCCTCAAGACTTTTTGGCTAACTTCTAAGTCTGCACAAGGTAAAAAATGCAAGTGCTTTCATAGGCACCTCAGTTACACTTGTAAAATATGAGCAGAATGAGCAAACAAGTAACTAGGCATATTTGTGTGCAGCAAAAAGGAAATGCATGATTTTATGCAAAAGAATTTCTGTCTGGCCACAAGAACAGCTTGGGGGAATAGCTGGGATGTCTTCATTTGAAAATTTAGCTCATGGTCATCAACAAAAATGGAAGGTTTCATAAGGTCTGCAGAAAGACATTGGCTAAGCATGCACCTAATTAATATATTAAAGAATCTGTTATTAATCCCATTCTCCAACATTCATAATCACACTAGTCTGTCTATTAACTTTTTTGGATGACTTTTTTTTGGGGGGGGGGGGGTTGTGTTTTTTGTTTGTTTGTTTGTTTGTTTGTTTGTTTGACTTACTCTTGCCAGGCTTCATGTATTTTCTTCACTGTTACATCAGGAACTGGCCTCGTTTTACACAATTTGGTGGGGAATAGAGGCCGCAACACATTTTTATATATTTTTGTCTTCTTCTATTTCAGTTTATTTAAGATCAGTACTCTATCCAACATGCTACATGCCTGTTACAAATTTCAACTTTAAGGAAATGGAAGATGGAAACCTGGGATTTGTGGGGCTGGATTAAGCTACAGGACTAAATGGACAAGCAGCCAAAACTAGATCCTCAGAGAAGGAGAGTGGGCCAGTCCTGCTACTGTCACTGGTACAGCTTAAGGAAGATTTATACCAAAAGCGGATATGGCTCATATCGCCTTATCAACCACTCATGAATTACCTTGGCCACTGGTCACAGTCACAGGCAAATCCAGTGGCATGGTCTCACTCCCACTTCCACAGTATAACTCAGCAGCTCCAGATGCTTGAGTCCCCTGCGGAGTCTGGACCATGTGGCAGGAGTATCAGCCAAAGATCTTTTTAAGTTCCCAAAGCAGGTAAGATTCCCCCACACAGTGGCACCCCTGCCTTCCACTCCATGCTCAATGGCACCTCCCCTGCCAGTCCCCCCTCCTTCCTCTCTACTTACACCTCTGAGACCAGGAAGGGGAGACCTGCCTGCTAGCACTGCTGCCCCTGGCTGACCCAGGAGCAGTGGGAGCCACTCCTACCCCCATCCAAATAAGGCTGTGGGGAATAACTGCACAGGAAGCTGGGCTCAGCCAGTGGCAGCAGCAACAGCAACAAGTGCGATTCCTCTCCTTGCCAGGTCATGCTGTGTGTTCCCCACCAGCCTGGGACCAGCCACAGGGAGGGGGAACCCACACGCTGCCCCCACTCCTGTCCCCGGCTCTTCACACAGCCACTCCCGCACAACCCAGGCTCGAGTGCAGCAGAAGCAGCTTAGAAAGTGGTAGCAGCAGTGGAGTGCACCCTTCCTGCACACACAGGTATAAAAAGAGAGGAGGAGGGGGACATGGGGGAAAGGTGCCACTGAGCACAGAGGGGAAGGAAGGCATTGCTGAGAGCTGGGGGAACATGAAGAATTCTTACCCAGTTCGGGAACTTAAAAAATTCCCAGCTGCTGCTCCCACAGCATGGTGCGCCACCCCCAGGCAGAGGTGGGGAGGGAGCAGTGGAGTGCAGTCAACCCTGCAGTGCCAGGCGCTGTGCACAAACCCCTTTTTTAAAAGCCTGTATCCACTTATGGTCACAATAGAAACCTTTCTACTGATATGAATGTTTGATCAGTCTGTGAAGTATCTCCTGCACTGACAAACACAATAACACCCAATAAGGCAAAGCCCCCACACCACAGAAAGCATAAGAAGGTCTTTTGCCTAATGAAGAAAGAATGACCCATAGGGTTCTGTGGGGGCAGACGGCATCAAGGTAACACTGTCCATGGTTATACCCCTTGTCCTAGAGCAGTAGATAACCTTTGGCATTTACAACAACCCAAGATTTCTGTGTACTGCTGCCCCCCGCCCAAGCAGGTAAGTCTGTGGGGAGAAAAAAATTATTTGGGGGCATGCCTCCCCAGCAGTAAGTCCCACCCAGCTGGGGCCCCACTCGACTTACCCCGTTCCTGCCTCTGCAGCACTGTCCCTCACTGAGGGGACCTTGATCTAGCCCCTGCCCCTTCCCCCACGGACTGACCTGATGGGCTGGGGAGCCCGCGTGCCCCCTACCCCAGTCTTGGGTAGACTCCAAGAGGCTCCAAGATCTACTGCAAGAGGCTCCGACATCTACTGGTGGATCAAAATCCACTGGTTGGTGACCACTGTCCTAGAGTATGGCTTGATCAGCTACACTGGCTAGTGAATAAAGGAAAACGCGGTATTTCACCTACAATATCCATAAACTGAAAGTCTCCCTTATACAGCCTAAACAAGAGCAGGAAACAGCAGAGTAGAGGAGTCTTACCTGCTTTTTCTGCCACCCCCACACCTATGTAAGGGTCAAATACAACCTGGTCAGTCATGGGGAATATTGGTAGAACAAGTGAAAACATTCCAACTGATAGAAACAAATTTGAATGAATTGCTTTGGGTAAATTTTAACATTGTACTGGAATCTAGGAGAATGGGGAATAGCGTCTCAGTATGGTATAGGAGATAGCTATTCATCATTGCTTGACAAGAAAAATTAAAGAAACACCACAGGTCATAGAAAAATATGTATTAAACACACTTGAACACTGCAGCTATAAAAATGTTAGATGCCTAGAAACCCCTGGATAAGAAATTCAAAAAGGAAAAGAGAAGACATATGGGAAGATAGGACCAAAGGAGGGGCAATTGAGGTATTATGGGTCAGAATGTAAGGGGTCAGGGGGGAAAGGGACTTGGTAGTGGGGGTCTACTAGAGGCCGCCACATCAGGAAGATGGGTTGCACCTGGATTCTCCAGACAGCTCTCAGAGGCCATATGGTCAAGGGACATGGTTGTCATGGGTGACCTAAATTACCCTGACATCTGCTGGGAGGAGCAGTCAGCTAGATCCAACCGTTCATGTAGGTTCTTAACATGCATATAGGACCTTCACCTAATGCAGGAGGTATACGGTCCCACTAGGGGAAATACCTTACTGGATTTGGCGCTAGCTACAGGGGATGACTTGGTGGGGGATCTACTGACACAAGGTAACCTAAGGGACAGGGACCGTCACTTGATTGAATTCACCATATAGAGGCATATAGGCTGTGGAAGCAGGGGGTAGCTACCAAGGTGGAGTACACCTACTTGGCCCGCACTTGAAGGGAAGCAGTCAGAAAGGCCAAAGCAGAAATGGAATTTAGGCTGGCAACAAAAATTAAAGACAAATAAAAGCCCTTCTTCAGGTATGTGGGTAGTAAAAAGAAGGCGCAGGGTAGCATAGGACCCCTACAGGATAAACTAGGGCAATTAGTGACAGATAGGGGGCGGTAAGGCTGAGCTCTTCAATGAGTTTTTTGCCTCTGTAATCCTGAACACAGATCAGGACAAATCTCACAACTGGGTCACAGACAGGCACAAAAAGGAAACCAGCCCACCAACTGTTAACACTGACTTAGTGAAGGGACACTTTGAGGGGCTGGATGTGTTTAAGTCAGCAGGCCCAGATGATCTTCATCCAAGGGTGCTGAAGGAATTCGCCAGTGTCATAGCGGAGCCACTGGCACAGCTGTTTGAGTACTCCAGAGGACTGGAAAAGAGCCAATGTGGTCCCTATTTTCAAGAAGGGGAGGAAGGAGGATCCGGGTAACTATAGACCAGTTAGTCTCACCTCTATCTTCAGGAAAACCTTTGAAAAAATTATTAAGGATCACATTTGTGGGAGTCCAGCAGGAAAAACAATGCTGAAGGGTGCCAGCAGAATCATAGCAGGTAGATCTTGCCCAACTAACCTTGTTTCTGTTTATGACCAAGTCACAAAACGTTTAGATGCAGAAATCAAGGTAGATGTAATCTACCTGAATTTTAAGAAAACCTTCGATATGGTATCTCATCCTATTCTCACAGATAAACTGAGAGGCTGTGACGTAGATGATTACATGGTCAGGTGGGTGGCAAATTGGCTTAGGGGTCGCACCCAGAGAATAGTGGTGGATGAGTCGGTATCGACCTAGAAAGATGTGGACAGTGGAGTTCAACAGGGCTCGGTCCTTGTACCTGTGCTGTTAAATATCTTCATCAGTGATTTGGATGAGGGCATGGAAAGCACTGTGTCCAAATTCGCTCATGATACCAAATTATGTGGTAAAGTTAACATGCTA